GTTTTAGGACTTGAAAATAATCCTTCTCCCCCCTCCCCCCTCCTTCATTTTTTAACTGAGAAAAAATACAAGTATTTTTGAAAATAGACTAAATGCGGATGAATTTTAGAACATTGCATTTTGAAACTGTCGACATTTGATAAAATTTCAAAAAATTTGTAAGGGGTTTTCAAAATGAATGTGGAACTTTTTTTGATGGTTGTATTGGTTTTCGGAGATGACTCAGTGCCTACAATTCATCTATTTGTATTGTTACTCAAAAAATTGTAACCTCCTCTTTCAGACGTGTTGGAGTCTGGAAATAATTTTTTTCGCTTGAAGAATCCATAATTCAAAAATTGAATGTCACTCCTCAACCTTTGCCTCCCATTTCCTATTATTGAACACCTTATTCAGCAAGAGAAACTAAAAAATGCTTTCAATTCCAACAAAATTTTGAAATTTCAAAACCATTCGTATACAGCTTATTGTACGAAATATATAAAATCTATGCTTTCACAGTTCCCATGACCAACACAAGCATATATTTGCGAGTTTCGAAACAAGCTGAATTCTTAATCAACATAGCGCTAGTCTGGCGTTGGCAAAATGCGATGAAGTGCTGAATAACTAAACTGAATAGCATTTTCACCACTATACAAAGCCATATATAGAGCGTTGCTAGTCAACAGCACCTCATTTCATTCGTTTTTTCTACGCTTTTGGGAGTGTTTTTGGACTGTTCCACTTAGCAGATTTTTTTTAAAAAGTAAAGCATAGGTAAGGCATTCCAGTTGTCAAAAAGATGATATTCACGAGTCAATAAATGATATTCCTAAGTTCTCCCCTCTAATAGAAATTTCTGAGAAAAGTTCTTAGTGAGGTGGAAGGGCCGAGATAAGATCGATCTTGCGTCTGAGAGTTAACTTTCGAGTATTCTCGTTATTAAACTCTTCCTTTGAGTCCTTACTTCGTCTTTTTGGAAATTTGTTTGATAGGTGCGAAGTGGGAGAGGGACCATCCAATCCCATGGGCCTTTGATTTTTGAAGATATGATATGCAAAGCTGCCCTGTTAATAGAGAATTCCTAAAAGCATCCTTGAGAAATGGGAAAGTTCAGTCATTCATGTGAACCCCGAGATTTCAAAGAAATTGACAATTTTGTCCCTTAGATTCCTTTTTTTACAAAATCCTGATGGTAGGGGGTGGGGGAAGGACCCCATTTGATCGTTCTAGGCCCTAAATTTCAAGAAAATAATATTCTATCCGGTTCGCTAGTCCATGCGTCACAGCTGTTCGTAATTTGTCATAACAAAACTTTACACTTGAACATTATCGATGCGTTTCCTGGATAGATGTCAATCCGCTCCGCATATCATTCGTTTCGAGGCTCTTCAGCGTAATATTACGTCAGAACTTCACAACACACGTTCATATGTACTTGCTAATTCCGTTTCCCTAAGTCATTGTCGACGCATATTCGAAAAGTAAATTTTTATTTTTGACCTCGCAGAAATTTTTTTTTCAAACAGCCAAAAGTCTTTGAAAAAACTCGTAAAAAGGTTAGGAATGGAGAAAGGGGAAAACTCAGCAAAAGGATTCTAACAGAAAAAAATTTCTTTTCAAATATTTACCTAATAGACGCCCTTGATTCATCCAAACTTATTTGTGTACATTAATTTTATTACGCACAAGTCTGTGCCAGGGCACTAAGTGCACACAAGAAGGCACTAGCTATTCACGTCATTTGTACTATCAAAAAAAATTCTCGACAAAAGCAACAAGAACCTACTTATTAATTTACTCGTCAACAAATTAGCCATCACAGTAATTGATAGGCTCCGCCCATGCCACGCCCCTTTTATAGTGATTTTGCGCCTAGCTTTCATGGGAGATCGTTTCGCTGTTACTCTGGCCGATACCCTTGATGAAATTCGCTTCACTCACTACCCAAAACTTAGTTTAGGCGACTTTGCAATTTTCTAAAACCATCCATATCCAGCATAAGCCTGATTTCAGCGTTAAATACTGTAGAAAGCCTATCTGTGGCGCTTGCATCTGTTTAAACACATAGGCACAAATTTTTCGTTTTGGGAAAAAAATTACTGTGGCTCGTGACGATCACAGCCTATTTCGACATATACCGTGCTACTTTTGCACCGCTAAGACAAAAAATATTTTGCAGAAAGAAGCAGTAGTAGCTTACGGAAAGTTCTTGAAGCATGCGAATAAGCTGACGGTAAATTTTAGTCAAAATACTCAAAACTGTGGTCCTCATGTTTTGCTTTGGATGACGATTACACTTCAGGCGATTACCTGTAAATTTTGAATCATGCGACACCTTGGAACATTTTTTAAAGTAAACTTGTGAAGTGAGCACGCGCCTTACTCAATCCGCTTGATCACTTCGCTAATGGTCAAAACTGAACTGACCAATAGCGAAGCAGATATCCTTTCCTATTGGATAGTTCACTGATCCGACCAATAGCGAAGAGGATGAGGTGGACCATGCGGATCAAGTGGATCAAGTATGGCGCGTCCCTTAGATAATGCCAATCTAATACTAGTAGATAAACGGAAAATCGGTATCAGGTAGATTAGAATGGATTTATAAAAATAAATGATAAAATATAGCTGTCTGATCAAGTAAGTGAATCGAATGAATGCAGAGTACCTCATTCGAATCCCATAAAAATGAACCTTGAAATGTGATAAGAAATATTTAAAAAACATAAATAATTTCTAGCCGAAAACATCGTCTTTTTAAAAGAAGGAAAAACTCAGTTTTTGCAAAAACCTCTAAAAAACAATAATTTCGAAGTATTTAGCTTTTTATGATAAGATATAAAGACTGAGATCCGTAAAAAAAATTTTAGTAAAGGCACCAGCTGCAGAAAAGTCCAAGTCTGTGCCGTAATTACACAAAATTCGTTACATAATAGAACCAGTAATTTTAGGATAATGTACTCAAATAAAGGTCGAAAAAGAGTATTTTAGAAAAAAACATCAATTCCAGGGAAAATTACAAAGCGGACCACTTTTTTCTGCTGTCCAGTACAGCACATGCCGTACACACGTGTACTCGTAACTGGGCACGGGGCGATTAGCGCGCACAGCCCGAATAATTGTGGGAGAACTGGGCTCTGCGGTCGGTGGCGGTAGAGGGGCACTGGTAGTGTGGATGGACGGACAGGCGGGAGGGCGGACGGACGGCTATGGGGACGCGGCGGACGACGCACATCGCTCTCCGCGCGCTTCAAAGGTCATTTCTCGCGTCTCCGCGTTTCCGCACGTACTCTCGCCGGTCCGCGTCTCGCGTCCGCCCGTGGTGCGCGCTATTTCGCGCCAGCTGTGCCTCTCTACGTCAACTAATCTGACCTCGTGTGGGCCTATATAAACGACAAAGTTTTCCGCATACATCGGTTCGACTGACCTTACTGGTATGATTGCCATGTGCAACATTTTTTTCGACTTGCAAATTTTTCAAATTTCCCTCCAGAATTCTCCCAAATTGCTGCCATTCCCCCGCACCCACAGCCCGCATAGCTTCCTGCCTATTTATTAATTATTCTATGCTATAGAATAGCATGTGACCATAATTGCCACTTTTTTCGCTATCGTCCCTATAAAAGCCCCCCCCCCTTGGTGCAGTGGTCAGATACATTTCGTTTCTATCTGTGTTTTCATATGCTAGAGCTATCTTTCGAAGGTCTTCGCTCTTATTTTTCTTAAGTTTTGACCATGACTCACTTACGTTTCATAAAAGAACGACCTTGGCGGACGTTTCAAGTGCAACGTAATTTTCGTCGCAAAAAAACTATGAGAAAAACTTGGCAGATAGTTGATTTATTGCTAGAAAAACAATGCTATTTTTGGCTTTTCTAAAAACAGCTAGATAAGGTGGCTTTCGAAACAGTTATCATGCTTTGGAGAGGGAGAAAAGCTATAGAAATTACTAAAAAATTCCCGGATTATGTCAAAGAGGCAAACAATAGTCATTTGAAATAATGCAAGGGATGTCCCCTGGAAAAGAAAGGCGGTCTTTACCATTATCTCGAAAATTTAGGTTTTTGAAGTTATGGAAATTGTACATTTTATCTCCTCCATATCTAACAACTCCATAAAACAACAATTTTTTCCAAATTTCTAGTGAATATATAATTTTTTAATTTCCCCTCCATATTTCCTGAAGTAGACACTTGAACTTTTTGAAGATTTGCGATTCATACAAGTCCAGAAATAAAGTAAACATTAGATCATGGGTTTTAGTGAATATAAGTAGGATTTAGATGGATTTATTAACAAAAGCGGAAGTCTCATTTTACTTCCTTATTTGTTGTGCCTATCTTCTTCTCATGTCTGGATTCTTCTTGCGTTGTAGCTCAGGTCTTCCTAATATTTATTATTTGTTAAAGAAAAAACTAATCTTCCCTTTTAAAATAATTTTCTAGCCAATATCGAAGAAAATCATGAAGATTGTCTTTTAATGGTAAAATTTTTCCACAGAATAATAATCTGATAAAATTAAGATAAAAAATATTCCATCTTCAGTAACACAACCACTTTCTTGAATAAATTGCTTCCAAAAGTTGGTCAAGGAAAGATTTCGAAAGGCAGCAATCAAAAATTTATGTTGATCGTCAAAATTCGTATAGCGTTTTTTTAGAGGAACTGATGCTTCTGATTGTGAGATTTTCTTCACTGCCTTAGTTTTCTGAGTTTTTTCCTCACAATGAACTTTTGCTCCTCTCCATTCCTCTACATCTTTCCACATTTGTTTTTCACTTCTGATTGCTTCTGATTGTTGCAAAAACGAACTTTGTTCTGCATTGTTTCACTTGCTTATTCTGTCTTATGTATCTCATGAATTTCCGTACATACACCTGTGCATTTGTGCGTCAGCATCTCTCTTTATCTCTCCTGAAGAGTACATTTAAAACCCATTTTCTCCATTCATTGCTCGCGTTCGCTTTTCGTTCTCTTTAATCATCTGCAAGCAGCTTTGTTCGCAATGTCTAGCAAAAACTCATATCAGCCATGTGTTTCAGATGCAAATTGATCGAATCTAGCTATGGATCAGAATTACATACAACTTCTAGCCGCAGCTGCTGCTATGCCGCCGCTCGGATCACCGAACCTAACAGCTGCGGCGGCGACTTCGCCGCTCACCGGACAGCAGGTACCGCATTTTTTGCTCGTCGTGCTAAGACTTCCGCGTAGCGGTTGCATAGCGTATGACATCATAGGGAAACGCGAAAAAACGCATCTTTTGCGTTTTTTTCGAGTTTCGATGACGGGGCGCGCAAGGTACTCTCTCTATTCGCATATGGTGACCTTTTTCATACTTTTGGTACTTGACTACACCAAAAGTATGAAAGAGGTCACCATATGTGAAGGAATGAGGAGGGCGGGGGGGGGGGGGGGAGGTGTAATGAGTGACATCATTAAAAAGCGACAAGTGGTATTAGTATTAGACTCAAGGCTGTGCCGCTAGCGTCTAGAGGGTCCTTGAGCAATTTTCATATTTAAGGGGGTCCCTTGTACCCTCCAGATATTTTACGCAACCATTGATCTGTTCTAATGTAATGTAGGGAAATCCGCGAGTAAAGGAAAAAAAATGCAAATCAAGCTTCCAGACAACATTATCTACCGTATGCTACCGTAATCATGTTTTTAAGTGCTCATAAGTGCCTCAAAATTCTTAGAAATTTCAAGACTAAATGAAAAAAACCGGCCGGACACTTTTGCACCATTTACCGTATGCTACGGTAACCGCGCTTCCTTGTGCTCACAAATGCACCATCAGTCTTCCGCAGTGTTCCAGCCAGTTCATGCAAAATAGCAGGGATGAAGTTCGGGCCTTTTTGCACCATTAATCATAGGCTACCGTAATCCTGCGTCGTCATAAGCTTTTGCGAGTTTTTGCCCAATCATATTAGCACAAGTTGTTCTGAACTTGCGACGTCGCATTGCGGCAAACAGCTTGGCACTCTAGTTACTGTAGCGTACTGTAGGGACAACAAAAATGTTTAAGAGGCACTTTTGCACCATTTTCTATACCGTCGTACTCTCGGGTAAACTCAAGAGGCCTATGCACCTGTCTCCACACCCAATGAACATATTAGTACGGCTACTATCTAAGACGTGCCTCCCATTTACGGGTAAAGGTAGACGGTAGGATACTGTATTTGAACAAAAGGGTCGCGGAACGATACTAATGAGCAAACAGTCATATGATAAATCGGAATTAGTAAGTAAAAAAGTTATGACTATTTTTTCAAACTTGTTGAAAAGTTTCTTTAGCTCCTTTTAATTGATGGATTTACGTGACTTTGAAAAACTAGTACGAAAAAGCGGTCACGTTTTCACGAAACAACGCCTGTGCTAGTTTTTTGAGCGACCTAAAAAGTGACATTGTGAGATTTACAGCGTAATGAGGAAAATTTAGTGGGGGTTCTAGAGAACATATACATAGCAACAAATAATGGAAGGCCTTGTTATTTAGTCCGTCCCTGAAATATCACCCGTAGTCTAAGTTTCGAAGTAATAAGGGATACTGTAGCGGTACTGTAGGTCTGATAGGCACTAATTTTCACTTTTTTTCAGGCATTTGCCTTCAATCCGACGGCTCTACTACAAAATCAATGGTTACAACAGCAATATATACAACGACTTGCTTTACAACAATACTTAGAGAATCTAAGAACTTGTAAGTCATATTTTTTCGTCAGGAAAAATAAAGATTCAAAATGCTTTGATACGAGTTGAACTCTGATGCTTTCTGAGTTACACGACCTTGAAGTCGGAAATCATATCAGAATTTACTTTTACTGGTTTGCTTTTTGTGAAATGTGTAAACTAGTTGTGAATCACGTGAAAGTTCTCGAGCGAATTTCAAGAGGGGATGGGGGGGGATGACTTACCTAGGCGGTTTTTGATCTGTAATGCGAACGAAGTTCAAATATTTACGATGATTTTCGTGCCAGCTAAAATTTTTATTTTCCACATTTATTGGATAAAATGAGAAAGACTGAGGAATCATAATCTTATCTGAAACTTTCTATTCTTATTAGGATCAGAGTGCATCTTGTCAAAAAAGATATCTTCATCATAAATAAATAAACAGTAATATCGCAACAATTTTTCTTTTTTTTCTCATTTGCGCATAAAATCAGTGTTGAAAAGTTTGAAGAATGGTTCTTATCTTAAGATTATATAGTAACAGATCCAGATTGCTTACCTTTTGGAAAAAATACCTTTAATTTTCTTGCGCCATCCATCTGCGGGAAATTCAAGTGAATGGAATTTCCAGCCTTTTAATAACGTTTCAAATACCCCAGATGACTATTTTTGAACTGAAACCGATGAACTTTCGATTTAGTTTGTGTTCCAAATAAAGAACGCTCACTGTACTTTTACTATCAATACTCCTTTTACACCCCCACTTGAATGTATAAATTCAGCTGAATAAAAGTGTTTATCTCGCGTCATGTGGTCCTTTGAAACTAGAAAACACTGCACTTAAAATCCTATCAACTTTTTAGCGTTATCATACACGTGTTCAGCATGACAATGCGTGGCAAAACAGGCTAGGCATAGGCTGAACCGCGTCGCAACGTGGTATGCGATGCGGTAGATCAGCATTGATCTTTGAATGAGTAGATTAGAAGAGATATCATCGATCTAAGCATCTATGGCAATAATAATAATAATAAATGTGACAACGAATGATAATAATAATAAATGTATAATAATAATGGCGATTGATAACAATAAGTAACCTTTAATTCAACTGGATTTGCGGTGGAAGGCGGGGCTTTTTTACCCAGTTAAGGCCGCTCGCGCCCGCGACGCACTCTGCGTCTCTCTCTCGCGCGTGCTCATTGGTCATTCTCTAGCCTCAACTAGGTCACGAAGCCCCGCCTTCCAGCAGCCAATCCAGTTGAATCAGAGGGTAATTGATAATTTTCTAATTTATAACAGTAGTAATATTAATAATATAATGATAGGAATAATTGTAATAATAGTAATAATAATAATATCAATAATAATAATAATAATTTTCAGTAATAATAAGAACAGTATAAATGTGAAAAATAAATACATGTCTAAAATTTCCCGCTTCACAAACAGCATTTAGCTGATTACGGGTGTGCATTTCAGCCACAACTGCTGCTACCGTACCATCATTGGGTATGATTGCACCGATCAGTCTATCACTGCCTACAGAAACGTCCAAGACTGATGAAAATTTCATTAACACTTCCATAGGAATTACGGTAACTTCCAGTCAAGGCCTATACCCATTTCTGTGGTTGACGAGTTTTCTTACAGCCTACTACAACCATATCATCATCCTACATTCCTTCTTCCGTCGATCTCAGCGGTCTTGTCGCTCCAATACCGAAACGGCCGCGTCTAGTGCTGCCAACAATTAGCGAAGAAGAACGTCGACGTCTTCTCGAACAACAACAGCAGCCCCGGGTAGCCTCGGAACCCCATCATCCGAAAATCAAAGAAGAACCGCCATGTGCAAGTGCATGTGCACTGCCGACCACGTCCGTTGCCAGTACATTGTGCACTACGTCTCCTGTCATCGCTGGTAAGAGAGAGAGAACACATGACACATTTGTCGCAAATTTACACAACCTCCATTTCGCCTAAAGAACAGACTTGACGTGCTATTTTCTTAGCACGTAAAGTGCGTATGTATGTGAGTGTGTGTGTGCCTGTGTGTGATGGATCGTTTTACAAGCGAGGGGGCGGATGAACGAATGGATGGACTGGAGCGAAAGCTCAACGTAATAAACATAGCACGAGATGATTTATGCGCGAGACAAGCCGCTATTACGCTAATGCATTCTAGCCATTAGCACCTCGTAATTTATTGTGGTATCTAGGGGCTTTTCGGACGGACACAAGGGTGACATGTCGCAAGAGAACGACAAAATGGGGACTGAGCATTTTGAAAAAGTTATTTGTAGTTTTCCGCCTTGGCAGCCCACTTTTGCCTTGCCACGGCCATTTTTGCGTCGATCCATCCTCTAAGCCTTGATCGACAGTCTTTTGGTGGACATACATGAGATCACGATTCGCTTCTATTTTTAAAAATGCAGAAAGGGTGAAATGAGCAATTTCCATAGTTTTTTTTTCTCCTAGTGAGGAAGCTGTTTTATGAAAGAAAATTTTTTTCGACCCCTCAAGGCCTTTTTTAGACTAATTGAGAAAACCGGCACAATTCTTAGAGACATGGCCGTTTTGCATGACAGTGTTTAACAGCCATTTTGCGTCTCTTGTCTTTGCATGAGGGTGTGTCGCGTGCGGCGTCGGTCCTGTCTGGAAGTGTCTGGCGTGGTCGTGCAAAATGGCCGATAGGATTTTTATCAAATGATAGAGAGTGACAAATCAAATCAATGTACATTTTCACGTATACGTGTTTTTTTGGGGGGGGGGGATAGAAAATCTTTTTTTGGCTTATATATGAAATCTAGCACAGATATCGATTTTTAAAACTCATCTAAGTGCCGTTCTTGTTACAAATGATTTCTTCTGGGAAAATAAACACATTCGCTTGAATCTTACAGTGTGGTACAAAAACCATTGAAGCAAAAGAAAAAACCAAAATTACTTCTACATTCGCCAGCAAAATATTTTCCTAAGTTTTTTTATTACGCTAAACTTCGTAAGCCTTGACCGAAACCATTTCGTTGACTGCTTTGTGTTAAAGATTAGCGCACATTGCATGTTTAATGGCCTTGAATTTCTATTAGGTCAACGGCGTACATGATGATTTAGTAGGCACGTGGTGTCGACATTTTAGAGTAACCTCGATCTTGTTCATGGTAGTCTTTTTCGTGCGCGATCGTTTACATTTTAAAGATCGTTCGTTTCATGCTGGAAGAAGGGAGAGTGTATAACTGTCTGGCCAAAAGTCAGTGGCCTAGAATTTTGGTCACAAGTTCGTTCTTGAAGTCTGGTTACGTAGTTGGTCTATGATGGAGGTGGTCGTGTAATCGGCGACAAATGAACAATTTTCTTATTTTTTCCTCAATTCTGCAATTGCAGACACACCAGCGCCAGAAGTACGATGTTCTCCGAGCACATCAGTGGAGACCTCGTCCAATTCGAAAGAAGATGAAGAACCAGAGCTTTTTGTCGACATCGAATCTGTTGACAATCGCCCAGAGGGCCGAGATCGCCGCCGAGCATACATCGACTTTTACCGTAAGGTGAAGAGCGCCCGACAGAGGTAAGCCTACCCTGATTAACAGATTGGTTGTCAGTAAATAGATAAAACATGATACGGAACAAGGGGGGGGGGGAAGAGAGCACTGATCACTGATAAACTCTACTGGGGTGACTCTACTGGGGAATCAGATTTTGGGAGCAAAAGTTGACCAAAAACATTTTTTTCTGCAAAACTTGTTATTCGTCATATGTCTGCAACATAGTCTTACTACGTAATTGTCTTATTGCACCACTCTTATGCGAGTTCCCCCCCCCCCCCCCCACCCAAAAAAACCTCCCTACTACAGTCTCAATGCGTTATTTTGAAACTCATTGAATTTTTTCCTGAGGCGATTATGTAGTTCACTTTTTTTGAAGGGACGAGGGGGGGGGGGACTATTCTAGAGAAATAAAACAATGAACTTAGCCACAAAATTAGTAGAGTTAGATTACGCTTCAAATCCGTACATCTTGAACTAAGGTGGCAAAAAAAATTTCCATTCTAAAATCAAAGTACATATACTATTATATTTGTGCATTTAATAGATTGTAACTATTTTTTCGTCTGTTTAGCGCATAGGGAAAAATACTTTTTCGGCTGCAATGAACATGTGGACGGCTTTGAAGATCGCTTTTTGCTTCAAAAGTTCTATTATTTGAGCAGCAAGAGCGGTTTCGTATATAACGAACAGTAAGTAATATTGCGAAATTGCTTTTTTATTATTGATACAGGTTAACCATGTACAAAAATCCCTGAATCGATATTTCGAAATTTTATGTGCACACTTCGAATACTTCTTTGGCTATGTCATTCTCATTGTCAGTTCTTTAGCCTTGTCCGAAGTTTTGAGTTGAGCATAAACATTCCTAGATATTGACTGAAAAGCCAAAAATATCGTCAATAAAATGTGAAGATAATACTTATAATATTTATATGAGATGTGCAAAGAAATATCAAAATATGAAGAATTAGAATTTATTACAAATAAATATTGGCTGTAGAGAATATAATAAAATCAGCTGCTCATGTTGCAAAATAGAAATTTGAAGTAATTGAACAATATTTACTTTGCAGAAGTGATGTTTTATGCTTTCTATTGCATCATCCTGTTTAGGGAACCCGGCCCATTGCTGAATTGTGCACTTTGTGACAATCAAGTGCTGAGCAATGACAATGCTATTCATACGCATGTCAATCAACATGCTGAGGCTGGAGGATTCTTTTGTAAACTGTGCGGAGCTACTGAGACGGACAAATACAGGATCTATGAGCATATGCGCATGAAACATCCTCATAACGTAAGTTGTAAAAACTCTAGGGTCCTGGGGGTTGGCGAGGAGCCAGCAAAAACGATTGTGCACAAAATTAACTGCATAATTTTAGCTCGAGCTGTTTGAAGATCGTCGAGACATCGTTAAGCTTTGTGCAGTCATCCAAGAATGCTTTCCACGGGTGTGCCCTCGCGCCAAGAAAGACATGGCTAAGGATTTCGACAGTCTACTGAAGTGAGACAGTTTATACTACAATTTTCCCGCCAGAACTTTCTCTACCAATCATCTCATTTTCAGGCTTATCTGCGATAAGAAGCTGAATGAAGTAAAATGTGAGAAATGTGATGCGAATGTGAAAGCGACCAAAGCGGCAATGATGAAGCATGCGCATACTCATCCAGTTTACAGGTAGTTTTTTATTAAATCTATTTTTGCAAACCTTCAGTCAAAAAATCAGTAATTAAACGTCGCATCGAATGATTTTTCGAAATTTGAGGAATTCAAAAAAGATGATGCTGGATACATAAAAGCCATATAGGTGCGCGTTGTTGTGTCGCTCCTTGAAGATGTCGGCGCGGTTGCGTCGCGTCAGTTGAATTTGGGCGCGCTGTTACGCTGCAGATAGACGCTTTTTCACGTCAAAATTGCGTTGTGTATGCGCAAATTACTTTCAATTATTCTTAGCAGTGAAAATGATTTTTTTAATACAAATTCAAGTTGGGGGAGAGGGGGGGGGGGAGGGAGGGAATAGTATTTTCCACCAACTACCATTACAGTTGGGAATTTTCAACGCTCTCTTCACAATCGATTTCTTGATTGAATGCTTATAAGCTGGATATTAGAAGCATCAATATAGACGGACTTCTTTCCATGTTACCCCCCGACCCCAAACAAAAAACAAAGTGCGTCACAGTAACCCTCTGTCATTTCAGGTGCAAAGCGTGCAAATACACCTCGGACAGCGTCAAAGCACAAGAAGAGCATCAAGTCAGCTTACATACAGTACTGGATCCAAAAAACATGGTCGATTACAATGTATGCGGAGCGGCAGATGTTCTAGCACGAACCGTACAACGATGTTTTGCGCACATTCTCAAACCATCTGCAGCAGCAGCAGCGAAAGCTTCTGCAGCAATTTCATGAATGTTCGGGGGGATTTTCCGCTTGCTGTGAGAGGTATGCATAGATTCGTGGCAGCGATGGAAAAAAGGTGGTGATTAGTAAATGTCGTGGCCAACTCCGCCCTAAGCCACGCCCCTTTGACACACCACGCCCCCTTTCGTTTCGCTTTCCGCAAAGTTTTTATAGGCTTTCGCTTTGCGCGAGGGCTTCAAGAGGCCGTTGGCAGTGACGGAAATGACATTTGAAAGGAAGAAGTGGCGCGGCTAACTCCGCCCCTAACCACACCCTTTTGGCACGTCACATCCTTTTTCCTCTTGCCTTCTGCAAGATTACTTAGTTTCTTGGCAATAACGCAAACAAATAGCGGCGGCCAATGTCACTCCGCCCTTTTTCACACCACACCCCTTTTGCCTCGCGACACGCCCACTTCACCATCCCTTCCCTTTTCTACGACTGTCACCGCCTCTTAGATGATAGCACAGTTGTCGTAGTTTGAAATATGGAGATAGTGTAGCATTTATTGTAGAACTAAATTTCGGATTTTACAAAAAAATTCTGAACCGCTAGTTTTGCTCAAAAAAATTGTTCTTCTTGTCGAATAAGCTATAAGAATAACTACGGGCTAAGCATACGGGTCAAACCATTGCAATGTGTTCCATTCACCAAACTTTTCCATATGATAAACTATTTTTCACTCAAGAATGCTGCAATTTCTCCAAGATTTTCTTCGCCATTATCGATTTATTGATTTGTTCTCTTATTAGAGCTCATTTTGTATTTTGTTACCGTAAATGGGTTCACATTGAACGGCTTTCCATCGTGAAACGGGGACCGTTCTCAGCGATACTTGGTCTATTCCAGGTTTTACACTCATTTTATGTTGTAATTGTCGATTATTGATTGATACGAATGGGTCCAAGCCCATTTCAAATGCTTTCGTGGCTTTATGAGCCACCGAACTCGATGATCTTGAATATTTTCCTGAATGCTTTTGTCATGACTTTGTCACGCCTCTGGGTTTTTATCTATTGTTCAGCGATATTTTTTTTCTTATAAAATTGCAGATTGAGATTTGTCTGATAAATGATTTTTCTAAATGAGTTTCAAAATTGTTATATGGCCAGTGGAAAAATTGCAAAATTTTCAAAATTTTTCTCGTGATTTAGATAAAGGCCTTATCTCGTAAGAACACAGTAATTACTCTGTTATTTTTATTTTTATCATTATGGAATGTGGCGGCCAATTACCAATGTGGTTAATTCCGTCCTCTTCACTTTAGACAAAAAAACCCATAATTCCGAGTCCTCAAGTACCGTAAATTAAAACAAAAAACCCTGTTTCTAGCAGGGAATAAGTAGCGGTGAGAATCACCTCTATGGTTTCGATCGGAAGCGAATGGGAATTTCCTACGTTGCGGGTTTTCTTAGATGAATGATATGGTGAGGATTTAGGATATTGGGAATTCGAAATGCATTTTTTTTCCAAATGAATTTTTCTCAAAACTGCAGAAACTTTTACAACTTAGATTCACTGCTGAATCTTTGGGAGCTGTTCATTGCCACAAAAAAAAAACCCGGAGTTTAGAGTGTAGTTATAAAATAAAAGAGTTTTAAACTAAAAAGGAAAAAATGAAAACTCTAATTGATTATATTTAGAATTTAAGATAACTTTTCAATGGTAAAGTTGTAATAACTTCTAAACATGTTTATTGTTCATTAGTTTTTATGAAACGCTTCATCTACATGTTCTGAAAACAAAGATTTCTTGGCATTTTTTAAAATCGAAACCCCATTTTTTACCAAAATTCGAAAAATGAACTCGGGAAATGTGTTGTGTTTATAAAATTGGATAATCATCAGGCGGAAATAACTCATAGAAATGAATTCTCTTAAAATCGTTAGGATATCGATCAGAGTTTGATGTTGCTAATGTTCAAAGGAATCTGTGTTCTCGAACAGGTGAACCCCAGATTCTGTACTTCCTTCGTGCCGACCTATCAGCTCCCTCGGGCACGACCGGAGGTACGGTTTGGGTTTGAGTTCAGAGTTAAGTTTCTAGGCCATGAATGAGTTATATGAGCTGCCACTTGGAGAATGCCTTAGATACGGCCTTCCAATTATCCCCTAAGAAACCCAGGTAATCATATTTGCCTGGACATCACCTTTGACCTGAACTGCATTTGAGGTCCCTTCCCTCGCAAACGCATGATAAAAAATGGAAGTTGGGTAAGGGACTATATTTCGCCGTTAGGATCCGCCCCCCGGCAGCTGGTACAAATCTGTAGCCTGTAATGTGTGGAGCTGCGCGTTGTGTCGCAGATGTCCGCGTGGGACCACCCTCTTTCAGCGACATTAGTCCTCCACCCACAGAAATTGAACGAAGATAATGAAATGACTAATCAAAGAAAATTCTAGGAAGACTTCGTATTTTTTTGTTCCCGAGCAAGTAGGGAATATGGAAAAGTAAAAATTTCCCTCAAAGATCCGTAAATAAGAAAAAATGAAGCGTTGGGCGTACCTCAAGTCCTTCAGTACTAGGAAGCTGCCGTCCAGTCCCTCGCGGTACATCAAATGATGCTCGTCGAATCTCCTCGTTCAGCTCAGCTTGGAGCAAATCTGCCGATTTTGCTCGATGAGGATTATCGGAAACGAAAAGGAATGCTAAATCCGAAATTTTTATCTGCATTCGAGATTCTGAACATCGGCAAGGCTTACACTTGTTCTGCGAAACATCCTGAACAGAACGTTGTATATATGGTGTTGAATGATCCCTTGGAATCATCGGAAAGACTTGAGCTATTCGAGTGGGTGAACCGAATGCCGATTCACGATCGACTACGGTCTCTTTTCTGAAAGATTTGAAGTCTGGCTGTTATCAAAAAAAATTCTGACTGTAAAATTGCTTTTGAAATTATAATAGAAAATTATTCCAAAGCGATGTAAGAGCAAAATTTCGGAGTTAAGTTTGAAAGGGAATAACAACTGAGGGTTACTTTTACGGTAGGTATACTGTAACAACACTGTCATCTATGCTATGCGCTCTTTCTTGACGCTCGTACTAAGAATGAGTGGACTATTTTAGCACAAATTTCTTTATATGTTATTTTCCCTTTTTCTTTCCTATTCTAAGTTTCCTTTTCCTGTGCACGTTTTTTCATTATAACCTTCAAAATTGTTTTTAGAACTTACGTATATTCCTTTGACGGACTACTGGCCAAAAATGGCGTTGTTGAATCTACTGAAAGCGGAAGAGGAAGTGGTCGGCTTTGACTGTTTGCATTGCTACGTATCTGTTCTCGTTTTGCTTCTGGTAAACCCGTCCTGGAAGGCACAAAGCATTGTGAATTTTTTTGAGGGGGGGGGGGGAGTAAAATATGCTTACGTGGTGACAGGTGGACGTTTTTTGAGACAAAAACGATACAGGTAGACGACGGCAATGACGACGGCCAAACCGCCGACCACTCCCGACACTAGCACGGCTATCGTAAACAGTGGTCGTTGCTCTTCCTGAAATCATAAAATGAAAGAAAATAATTGGGAGAAATTCTCTTTTTTTTCAATAAAATGAGTCAAGCAGGCAAAATATCGACACTACTAGATACGTTGGACGCGGATCGTTGTAAAACAATTGAGATATTTGCTTTGGAGAGTAATTTCTAAAACAAAAAATAAACAAAATAAATTTTCCACATTTCGTTACATGCTTATTAAGACGTAATTGCTTTTTTAAGGTTAAATATCTTCAGAACTTACACCCTAGCCTTTCTATGTAGTCGGAACCCCTCCCCGAAAATGGAAACGTAAAAAATGGTCATCGTGAGATAAATTTGTGGTAATGACTCGAAGTTCTTTTCCAATCCCAATAAAGTGCACATAGTTTTGGAAATAGAATTTTTGAATTTCTTTAGCAAGAGTTTTTGGGATCGCCATTGATAATTTGACTCTACAGCCTTCGAGTTTAAAAATTACGAAATTTGTTTGAATATTTGTGAGAGTTTGACCTGGCAGTTACATGAAGCATGCATACTCAGATTAAATAAATAACGGCGTAACAAATCAGTGAAGCATGGATATGCCCTAATTGCTTGAGTAATTCAAGATTATCGCTAAAAGTCAACAACACCAAAAAATCAAGTCCAAAAAACTGGCATCCTGTCATTCAAAATTTGTCCGGAGCCTTTTTACATCTGAACTTTCGAGATACACAAATAGCTCTCGCCTCTTGTGAGAAAATCCTTCGAAAAAGCATCTTCACTATTTTTAGCAAAAATAGATCAACTGTCAACAACGTGTACTCAAGCTTTTATGTTTTTCTGTGAGAAACTTCGCTTTGTGATAAGAGAGTATACCAGATTGTCGTTGCTCGTAAAAAGTTTATGTATTTGGAAAGGAAATGCGGAGAAATGACTAGTTCATTTGCATGTGGTGACCGTAGTATTTTTTTTTACAATATTTTCTTCCAAAGTCTAATTTATCTGCAAATTATGAATGAGTGGGGTGCAGAATGATCACCTTCATGTATACGACACTAAGGGAATTGGGCCTTTTGTACACCTAGAAAGTATGGTAGATTTTTGACTGGGAATTTGACCGCAAATTATAGCAAAATATACAGGGTGTCCCAAAAAGATGTGCACACTGTTTAATTCTGAATAACTCTCTTGTTATAAGGTCTTTCAAGAAGCGGTAATGGCCATTTTGTAGAGCTGGCTTCAACTTAGATTTATAGTATGGAGCGAATCACCGATCTCTCTTCGTTACTGTAGGATTACGGTAGAAACTTGAAAGAGGGTTTTGGCCATGAAAGGCCATATTTTGCCTCAGAAAGGATTCAAAACAGCCTGAAAACTTTTACACTAGGTCAATTAGAGTTGCTGATTTCTAACTGTAAAGTTCCCAACCCATTATGATGTTTCACTGAAGAGTTATGCGAGGTAAGCAGAAGCGGCCTTCTCAATGTTTTTAAAAGGTGCGGTTACACCGTTTAGAAAGCTTCGCAATCTTGAGAATAGTTGAGTATTGAACTCAGCGTCCCTAAAAACCCTATTACAAGTTTTCACATCTTTTTGAAAATTTTTGAAACGGCAGCTTTTTCCACATTGACACCATATGTTCCAAGTTTCTACCGTATTCCTACAGTAACGAAGAGCGGGCGGTGATTCGCTTTAGATTGTAAATCTAAATTGAAGCCAGCTCTACAAAATGACCCTTACCGCTTCTCGAAACACCTCATAATAAGAGAGTTATTCAAAATCAAACAGTGTGCACATCTTTTTGGGACACCCTGTATTCCGATAGCATTGCTGCAGGTTTCCAAAAAAGATTCTTGATGTCTATTTGCTAAAGAAACGCAACAAATCGCTCTAGCCATCACTGAGATCGGTGCCAACCATTTTCACCATAACTCAAAACAAACGTGCATTTATTTGGAACCGGACAGGAAAGCGACCTAACTTCTTGTACTTACTCTCAAGCGTAATTCGCTTGATTTGTGGATGAATGAATAATTTTCGTGTAAACAAAAGTGAAATTAAGGCTGAAAAGCTACTATCAACTTTTACCTTGGAAAAAGTTTACTGTCAAGATTTGCAGGCTGAACGTTTTTACATTTTTCATTGTAGTTCAAGCAAAAAATCAATACTATAATTTTTGCCGTGACAGAAAGTAATGAAACTAGCAAGGGATATCTTATTGTTGGATGAGAAAGCAATTTGAATCATAACGAATGAAGACGGAAAAAAATAACGGATGACCTCTTCAGTCAGATTGCGGTAAACAGAAACCAAGTCATTCTTGCACTACGGTATAAAGTCTCTAATATGAACGCTTACCCGAAAGCTCGAAGGTAAGAATGCACTTTTTTAACCCTGCCAAAGATTTGCATTAAGAGTTTTTGCAGCATGACAAAATTTCACATACAGTTTAAATACGAACCAAGTGTGTTTGAAAAACTAATTGTTCCCACCATTTTCATTCAATCAATCAAGAAAAAGAAGAAAAAAATGTGGGAGTTTTTGATCAGCAAAAATGTTCATAATTGAAGGAGAAGGTCTGTGCGTAAATGAGAGTTTTTGAATTCGAAATTAGTCCCCATCATAAAAATTTGAGAAACGTTTTGGATAAAGCTACTTATGACAGGTGCGAAATTAGCGAGCTGATAGAAAAGAAAGAGAGATGAAAAGACAAGCTCCACTACAAACACCGCCCCTACTTTGAAATCAAAATGGTCAGATGTGATAATTCTAATTTAATCCATAGACAGTCTCTGGATTTGAATCAGATAAAAAAATACTTCCAGATATGAGATATCTGATTAATGGAGGACATTCTCAAATCTAGACAACACAAAAAATCTTTCATTTTTTCTAGATATGCTTGCACTGCGTGAATACTAATGAAAGATATTCATTTGCTAGTTGGAGAATGACAGAAAAAGAACGTGAGAATGAGTCAGAGTCTCAGGAAAGATCACAAGACCCCGGATCATGAGGAAACTCCAGGAAACTGGTGAATCCCATGGGACAAGTGAGCAGATTCTAGAAAAGTTTAATCAATTTTTGACACTTTTGTTTGATCCGAAAATTTTTTACCAACTTTATATCACGCGGAAAGAACGACACGAAAGAAATAGCGTATAGCAAAGGCAATTTAAATCGTTCTAGCACTCGTTTTAGCGCTGGGTTCATACCATTACAGTAATCATGCATACCGTAAACTACCGTAACTACGTGCGTTAGCCGAATTAGCGTCTCGGCTTTAGGTCCGTTACTCCTATGCGTTTAAAATATTTTCGGCAAGTTAGCAGACGTTAACACGAAATTTATTCGTGACTTGAATACCGTGCTCTCTTCGAGTGTACCAATCAGCGTTCTCGAGTACGGTAGCTAGTACGGTTCGGGCGGGGTTTTGAAAGTGAACTTCTCGAAGAATAGAGAAGATTAGAGCTCGTAGCCAATATTTATTTATTTATTTAATACACTCTGGGTGTGCCGTTAGCAAAAATCAAACACTAATAGTAAACTCAAACGATAGGTACCGATAGGTTAACATACCTGATCAGTTTGTATAAAAAAAGCAAGCTGGGTAATTAAATTCGGTTGGACTTTCCTTATAAGCGTTCAGTTAATAAATAGATTATTAAAGACTAAAAATAGACAACTTCCATAAGCTTATTATGCGGAAAGATTACAGCTTAAATAATAAATGGCGCTCGTTGTGCAAAAACAACCACATCCGTAAAATTTATACACTTTACAGAGCCGTCAAGAAGCGCTGAGAACAAAGATAAGGTCGTTGCAATGAAATTCTACACTTTTACGCAAATTTGCATCTTCTGCGCTCGCGTGGGAGCCAATGACAAGGAAATGGAGATGTCCGTGAACGACTTGCATTCACTCATTTATTCATTGGACCTCATCGTTGAGGGTGGTATTGGACAAGAAGAAGGAGGGTGCTATGAATTTCTGAGCAATCACGTAATAAAAGTCAACATCTTATTTTATTCATTTTCTGCTATCACGCTGCATTCAGCTTATGAGAAAAAGAATTTCTCACTGCAAATATAAAAAAATCGGCGTGAAAAAGAGGAATGGGCGAGTAAGTTTTTCCAGGAGTGGAGCACTAATTAGAAGTTTAACTAGAAGCGTCATTTTATAACGAAAAAAAAACTCGAAGCAGAGAATTAGAGGAGCCAAGAAATACACAGCTTTTATGTCATATGTGCTAAAAAATTTCAGGAATTCAGAAATGTTGCCAATTACCGAATAAATGAAAATTCGTTTTTCCTCGATGTTATTTTATGAGAGAACGCTTTTGCTATGGTTGAACGCTTAATGGTTCTGTGCTAGCTCTGGATGTCGACATAAGCGTAAACAGCAACGGACAGAGAATGGAAGTGGAATTGAATTAGGCCCCAATGAAATCATCTGCCGAACAATGATCTACTAAAAACGGAGGAAATAACTAACACAAAGTCGTTTAAGAAAGGTAGGAGAAGAGGCGGGGGGGGGGGGGGGGGGAGGAAGGGTAGGGGAAAGTTGAGGGAGGGAGAAGGGGCGGAACAAAGTTTATTAAAATATTGGGCCACGCGTAATCTAACCAGTAAAAGCAAGTCTCCTAGGCAGAGGACTATATGTCGTCGAAAGTGGGAGGGTCCCGCGCGGACAATGCAGCAGATACTCAGCCTGTACATGTACTGGAATGCGTATTTGTTGCAGATGTCCGGCGGGACCTCCCACTCGATATATAGCCCCCTACCCAAATCTCCGAAGAAGGAATTTCCGGGGTTTTTCTCCTGTTTTATGTCAAATTATTTGTTGTCTAGTAACTCTTCGTTCTCCCCCCCCCCCAAATATTATTTCAAGTAACACGTCCTGGTACCCCTGTTTTGAAGCTTCTTGAGCGAGTTTATGACACCAAAGCACGCAAGACCAACATCTATCACCTTATTGCTTCTTAACATGCCTCCAACTTCTAAGGGCAGCTAAAAAATTATGGAACTATTACCC